TTGTGCCATGTGGCGGCTGTAAAAAAGTATCCCCGTACATTTAATCAATGATGTTATATTTTCGATCATTAAAGATCGTTCAGCACGACATTATTGTTGTGTATACATTTTAGTTTGTAGTTAGTTATATAGTTATATAGTTTCTTGTATTTGGCCTTTTTCAACTTGGGTGGTTCCAGTATTCCTACTAGAATACTGTATAATCACCCTTAGGATATGTTGCCTGCTTTTAAAATTTGTCTTTTGACGTCTTGTCTGTGATTGGCAAGCTTCATAAGTCAGATCCTTTTCAAAATTCCATTTTATTTAGTTCCGCCCATTGTTTTCTCGTTTAGGGCACATGCATTCTTTCACATGGGACCATACGCCGCTTTTCATTGAATGACACTACTGTGTCACATCGAAGGTTCCCTGATAACCGCTGTATGAACACATCTGCGGATGTTTCAAAATTCAAAATATCACCATTTTTGTGTTTAAATGTTGAATAGATAAATACAGAATCCCTAAAGAAAGCCCAACACGGCAAAATTGAAAATGTTGCAGGCTCGGTTTGATTGAGCCTGTTCATGGACGGTAAGTCTGCTTAAGTCGGTGCTAGGGGGCGTGGACGGTTAATTGCACTTTGCAGTACCGTACATGATAAGGCTCAATCAAACCGAGCCTGGAACATTTTATATTTTTTTCGTGTTGGGCTTTCTTTAGGGATTCTGTTTTTATCTATTTTATATAACATGTATAACAAAAAATCCTGAATTAGGTCTCTTTGCAATTCATGCCAAATTTGTCATTCCAGTGTGTATATTACTTTCAGTATTTATTTAGGGCTTGAAATATAACTACTGTATTTTTAGTCCCAGGTATTATTAGAAACCATTTTCTTTAAATTTGACATGAAAAAATGTATGAAAAATAAAGTCGATGAAAGTTTTTTGTTTCGGCTTATTTACAGATGGAGTTATATATTTCTTACCATAATTAGTTGTTGCTATTTGTAGAAAATGAATAGCATTATACGAGTATGTGAAATAGAAAATGAACATGCTTTGATATTTTTATCATCTTATATTACTGACTACAGTAGTTACACAAACAGAAAATATTGCACTACTGTCGTGTCACATTACATTTACAAGTCTTGTAAGTCTTTTTTGTATTCGAATTACTTTCCTTACCGGGTAGGCATCAGTGAAAGCATTTTTTAAACTTAATATCTGGCCCCTCCCTCATGGACAGTGTTACGATAAGTCTAATTATGCACGAAATGATTTACAAAAAATCTGGAATAATGTACAAAAGTACATGATCTGATTAGACCATGGCCTGTGCGTAGAAATGATTTGGTAAGGTATCTGTAATGAGCGCATTTTTTACGCGGAGCTTCTCAATTGCTGCATTGCAGCAACATTAGTACTTGTTGATATTTGATTCTTCTCTGAGTTTTTTATAGCTAGGTAGAATAACAACTTGAATGACTATAATTGCTGTAGACTCATTTAATATATATTGTCTTGCTTATTTTGAAAATAATAAACAACTTATAACAATATATTTGTTTGAGATGTTCAGATTCTTTCTTCATTTAATTATAAACTATATATTTTTTTTAAGTCATGTATTTTTTTGCATCCATCCAAAATACATAATTATACAAATTGACCAAACAGCTATTCACATTTCACGATTCGACAGCAATTTCAATCATGATTATTTTTTGAAACAATAAAGCACCATACTTTCCAATGCCAGTACTCTTATTACATGCACTTTTGCACTAGAGTTCGGAACAATTAATTATAAATAAATATATCTTTTCTTCTCTTTCTCTTTCATACCTAAGCTCTCTATTAAATATCAAATGTTCCCTTCTGATTAAGTGCTATTGCACCGTGAGAAAAGAATCGCTTCTCTACTTCCAATACTTGCTTCTTTTACTAAAACAATTTCTGTAATTTCTGCGGCATTACTATGTTACATTTTATGGTTAATTGTTAATTACTATTAACCGAAATGTGGTGAATTAATGAACAAACGGACAAGTGACTTTAATACGATTCTAATTAGCCACCTGTTTCAGCCACTGAGTTTTCCTGTTTCATTTAATGAAGTCTATTAGAGAAAAATACATATTTATATACCTAGATATATTTTGTGTATGTTTATTGGATAAATATCAAGGTTTATTTGAATTAAATGATGAAGGACCATTGTTTATCATTGTTGCGCCGTTAATGTTTTAACACTAAAATAGTTCACTTAGTCATAACGGCAGCATCGTTTAATGGAAGCTCTGGCTACTAATAAAATCATAATTATGCGTGATATTATGTAAAAGGCCCGCTTTGCATCACCAGTACATGCTTTAATCTTTATTTCTAAATAATAATTTTATTTTTGTTTCCGGTCATAGTTTTCAAAAGTTACTTATCGACCAGTTTCCTGAACCTATAGTTGCTTCCGTTGCTCATGACTAAAAGAACAGTTATAGATATTTAGTATTTTGTATGAAAGTCAAAATACTACTTTGTTTATATTTTGTTCATTTTATGACAAATGATTTCACATTAAGCCTTACTTTCTTTAGAAGATAAGATTGTAACTTACTCTTAAACCATTATTTTATACTATAAAATCCATTTAATTTCTCCACATGAAAGGAAAATAATATTTGTTTCTAAGACTTAATGTGCCTTTTATGCATAATGTATGACATTACCTGTTTTGAACAGTCAGCTTTCACAGCTTGGCTCGTGGCAAGTAATGCATAAATGAGAATTATTACAATTTCAACTATCATTATGCCTTTGGGTAAACTTAATCTAAAATTGTTTTGGAATTATATTTCCTGATATTTTAGGGTGTTGTTGTTACTGTAATACGGTTAATTTCCATGGTATTTTTTTATGTCAATGTAATTATTGTGATGCATTTTGTTAAGATATTCTAATATTGCTTATATTAATATTTTAAATGCATTAAATATGATCAAATTAACGTAAAGTTCATATAGTAAAGATACGATTATATATAATGTACTAACGACACAAGCTTATTATCTATAATCAATTGTTTCCGTCTTTTTTCTGAACAAATGGTTACCATTTATTTAATGATGCAATCCTTATTTCCGTAGTTTTCTAGCGATGATATGTTTATAGATATTAACAATTAATGTCTGTGGTTAGCGTCGTTTTATAAGAAACTTCAATTTATACAAGTAGTATATCAATTTACCGTTTTTAGAAGATACATCGACACTAAGGTCACAGGTGTATAGTTCATCTTTTATATCTTACAATTTGCGCTGAACTGTAATAAAAAAAATTGCTACGTCATTCCAATGCATATTAAACGAGATGAAGTGTGCTGGTATAGTTATATTTCAAAGAAAACACATGTGTTAAAAGCCCGTTGTTATATCTTTTGTTTCTTTGAACGTTTATATAACATAAGTTTATAAATGCAAGTTTATCATGAACTAATGTTTTTTCCTTGAAGTATTGATGCCTGCAAATATTGGTTTATGATTTGGTCCTAATTTCTATTGACAGAAACAAAATCTTTGTCAAATATTTAAATTGATGCACTGTCTTTAACATGTAAACTAAAAGTAATATGAATAAAAGTTATATGGTGGAAGTAATTACTTTTTTCAAAGTATTCAAGTTAGAGTTCTTGAATGTTATTTTATTGTTTAATGATTACTAACTAGCACTTAATTATTACTATCTCATTGTTTTATGTTTATTGCCCATATTGAATGTTTATTTTTATCTAAATTTATATAATACTGTATACAGAAGTAACAATATTTATAATAAGTACAGATTTCAATAAATCATATTAATATATAAACAAGTTAAAGACTCATAAGTTCGGCAAACGAGAAACAATATCGGTAATCTGATATGTATATACATGTATATCCATGTGTGCCTTCCAATACTTTAAGTTCGGTACTCTGCCGGGTTCCTTTCCGGCGGTACTGTGCTAAAATTTCAGTGAAAGTTGCTCTGTCTTACATGCAATGAATCATCATTAAATAAGCACCCGTTTAAATGCCTGTTCTTACAAATATGTTGTTAATTATTGTCAAATGTTGTATTTATTTTATATCTAAGTTCCTTGCAAAAATAATGTCAACGTTAATTAAACTTTTACAGTTCTTTTAAAGCAGCGATAACATTATAATATCTAAAATTGCTAAAATATGATACAACGCAGAGTCGAACTAAGTAGCTTAAATTCTCCGCAATTGTTATTGATTTTGCTTTATCGCGATAGAATATGCCCCCTAAAGTTGCAAATCATTTCCCAGAGCAAGTTTTTTTCTCACGTTAAGTTGCTGGATATACCAACAATATCGGGAACCGACTATCTTAAGTCGTATAACTGAAACAGTGATTGTAATTCCTCACAAACCACAATGTAAAGGGAATAAGTTGCAGTTATTTAAGGAATTTTCAATTTCAATTCGTTTAAATGGTACAGGAATGTAATTACACTGCACAAACAATTACAGAAAATAAAATAATTAATTTATATAACGGAGACATTTAGCTAGCTACTATTCTTTTCTGTAATGGGACGATGAACCAAAATCAATACTGGAGCACCATTAGCTAGTTAATATTAGTTATCAACCAATGATCTAGCAAAATAACACTTTAATGTTTAATTTGATATGGAATTTCGATAATGTACATTGCTTGACCTTGCTTTACTTCTGTTCGTTCTTATGATGTCGATATAAAAATCCTTGAACAAAATACTTTAAATAATAAAAGCAAAACATTACAAACACGAAACAAAATAAGAAAAAAAAAGAATTACTTTTAAACATTTACAATGCACAATGCATTTCATGTAAAAACGGTATGCATTTATTTCATAAAGTAAGTAAAAATCGGATCTTAGTAGGAAGATAATATTTATTCAAACAGATATAATTATATTATATTTTTATATTAAAACAAACCGTTATTTAATGATCAAATATTTGAGTATTAGTAAAAACAAATATTGTTTCCGTAAATTTAATTTATTCATTGATTTAACACAAACATACTTAGAGCTTTGAAAACAACATTTATATGTTTTATAACAAGGGTAGTGTGACACAATATGTGTTTTTCGAAGCCAAACAAAAAACCTCACGTTATTCACTAGATGTAGACTCTATGATTTTAACATTTTCGTTATCTTTTGAATTTGAATTCACTTTATACAACACTATTAAACACTGTTGTTTTATCTTATCTTTACCAGAGATATCGTCTGTTTCTGGGCACAAAACAACAACATTTTTATGTTTTACAACAACAATATGGTCCTCGTTGATTGCGTGACGCACAGTGCGCCTCGTGCGGAGTGAGTAGCTTGGCCATTCTTTTCTTCTCCAGCACCTATTTTCAACAGAAAACACAGCATAATTAATTTATAGAAAACAACACAGGTACACACGTACGCATGTAAGACATTTAGATTTTATCTATGATAAAATTATTGTTCAACTTAACAAAAAAAATGATATCACTGGTAGAGTTTTAATTTTCAACTTTTTTATTTTTAAAGTATCGCTGATTTGTGCTGCGTTTAGTTTCTTTTAACTAAATCGTTTGCTCGATAGCCTATTTATTCTTTGATTAAGATGTACAAAAAACCATCTCGAGCTAAATAATTACGACCCGAATCTAATATATATTTTCATATATGCGTATTATGATGTCTTCCGCGATTAAAAACACATTAACAATGATGTTACTTAAATAATTATTGTACTTTTACAATAGAGAATCGGGTGTAAAGAAATACTTGCACTTCAGCTCTTCGAACAACAACTTAAATACAAAAATTCGAAATTTAAAGAAAGTTATAAACGGTGAGATTAACAAGGTTTGTTTGAGGACGGAATTTATAAGTGCAATTTACCATCTACGTCACCTAGCACCTTTTTATTTCAATATGAAAATAATTAACTTTTAAACATGAAACCATGTATATGGTTGTATGACAGCCATATTTAAGATTTGCAAAATTCCATTCCATGAAAAGCATCGTATAGTCTCTAAAGCTAAAGGATTTTAGCCACAAACGATGCCTTGCAGATATTTGAGTAGATGCAAAAGTTTAAAATAATATTAAATATACTATATGTACTAAAAATGGGTTTTCATATCCATTTATATAACTAAACGAAACATGCCGTACTATCATATAATCCTTCGGATTTTTGAAATCATATAAACAAACACAGCAAACTGTCCAAAAGCTACAGAAATAGTGAAAAACATGTACGAAACAACAAATCCAGCCTTCACAAATCAGACAACATACTGAAAACAGACAAGCCTCGTTTACACAGACATGTGCACTAATATTTACATTTCTAATGACCAATTTACTATATCTTCCTAATAATGTCATAACGATAACTTCATTTTAGAAATTATTAGGCAAATGGTTGTACTTTAAAGGAATAATTAACTGATATTGTTCAATAAGTATATAACCCGGTGCTGATTCCGAAAAAAATCATTTGATTAATTATTTGGAGTTTCCAATACATTTGATATTTTTGGTCAATAGAAATATCTATGCAAACAACGGCTACTTCCAAATAATGCAAACCATTAGATGACTGAAGCGCCAAGTTCCTTTTCGCAATAGGATTATTTATACGAAGTGGGCGTAAGCTGCGCATGCGCTGATTTGGTCTAACTGACCTTGGACTATGCACCTTGCAGAGATGAAATGCCCCGTATATCATTGGGTTGAGTAAACTGTTGGACAATCCAATAAACGACAAAGCCAACATTGTCTTTCTTGAAAACTCTGGTAGTTCGAGGAATGTTGTGTACATGAAGACAACGTAGTAAGGTGACCAACATATTATAAAAGCTGCAACAATAACTATAGACATCCTCAGCGCTTTTCGTTTAGCTTTACGAAATAAATGGCTTCGTACTTGGCCACGGAACTGACAATGTTCAGATGTAATGGAACTTTCTTCAGGTTCTGAAATTAAAAATACACGTTTGCAATGTATATTGTAACTAAAACATACTTTCTTGAGTGCGTTGTCTATGTATTTTTTATTTTTACTTTTATTTATTGTCAGAAAACGCCATAAAGATATTTATCACACACCGGTGCCGATTTTGCGACTCCGTAAAAATGGTATTGCACGGTCGTGCATATATTTTGACGTGACGTCATTAGCGTTATACAAACATAGTGTAAAAACGCGCTAAATGTTAGCGTTATACAATAGGCGCGTCAATGAAAAATGACTCTTATTTCACTTTCAACGGTCTTTATTTTGGGTATGTGATAAATAGAATATTGAATTGTGTAAGTTAATTACTGAATTTATTGCACTCGTTGAATAAAATAATAGTATGCTCGCCAGAGGCTGGCATAATATAATTTTATTCAACTCGTGCAATAAATTCAGTATTGAACTTACACTCATTCAATATCCTCTATATAATTGTTTCAATATGACTAAATGGTATACACCATTCATTAGTATCTTTACTTGTCAAATGAGTACAGTTTTATTCACCTCTAAAATCCTTAGATTTTCTGGTTATTGTTCCTGAAATAAGGCCATATGCTATGCCCATGATTAGTAGTGGAATGACGAAACTAAACAGCAAAGAGACGATGCTATATACACGTTTACTCCATTCTACCTCCAGATATCCTATATCAACACACTGGACAAAATTCGTTCTAAATGGCCCCTTGACTACTTTGAAAATAAGAATCTGAAAATATATGAACAGCTTGAATTATTATATTTTCTTTAAAATGACTGAGATATCATACAGTAATAAATGGCATATCGAAGTTTGTTATTGATTATATTTTTATTTCATGGAATGGAACGCTACTGTAGCATACAAAGATAAAATTCCCAATGATCACAAGAAGAGGGAAATACACATACAACATGAGCCGTTATCTATAATATCTTTAAAAAAGCAATTTGATACAGGTACCATTTTAAGTCATTGTACCAACTTATCTCTAGGCGCTAGTAACTATTATCTGATAAATTTAATATATTTTATCTGGTTTCTTGTTTGTTTGTTTTTTTTTTTTTTTTTTTTTTTTTTTTTTTGTTTTTTTTTTTTTTTTTTTTGTAAACAAATATACCTATATCCAATGATAATAATCGCGTTAACTAAGAAAATGAAACTACATAAAGAGATATTGCCAATTATCAGAATTTATAGTTTATTTTTTGAAGCATTGTAAATTGTACGAGGAAATTAAACCTTCTTCGGCTGTTTGTCATATTTCTTACAAATCGGCGTGTTTTGTTTCAATTTATTGTCCTCTTAAAAAAGTCATCGCGATTATTTTTTTCGTTCTTACAATTTTTGCAATACTATCATATAAATGGGCTTATGTGTTGTGTATTTACTTATTTTTTTTCCGATGAGAAATCAGGTTGTTTGTCATGATGTGATAGATTGTATATTGGAAATAAATCTAATATTTACACATTACTGATAACAAAGATCAGCAACCGAGGAAGTGGCATTGATTAACGAGATATGATCACCCCTTGCTGATAGACCAATAGTTTGACTGGTTTAGCGCAGAGACAAATATTTCTTCTCTATATCTAATGTTTTATTTATCGTTAACATGACATTTCATCCGGAATTCCATTCCGATATACACATGTTATGTCCATCAAGTCTGACACATTGTATTATGAAAATGTTAAAATCTAATGCAAAAACCAGTGTGATTTAATTTGTCTCGCTCTGAAAGATTTTATGTTCTACGGGAACATTTCTAGCAGAGATATTGACTGATTATGGTCGTGCGCGATTTTGAAATTAACGCAAGTTATCAATACAATAGTTGATTTAGATAACTTTCATGAATTCCAAACAAAGAAATACATATTAAGCATTATAACAGCAACTCATTAATTGTATATTATATATAATGTAGGATATATGTTTTTTTTTTCTTTTTTAAACCTACGGATTGTAGGTGGTTCTACCCAGGTGTTCGTTCGTGCCTGAAAATAATTGCACCTGAGGTCTTCCTCCACCAGTACAACTAGAAAGTCGCTATATGACCTATACTGTGCTGGGGGGCACTTAAAGAAACACTAAAAAATGAAAGGAAACACATCTATTTTGCTGTATGAGGCCAACAAAATCTTGTCACTACTGATTGACCAATCATTTAAGGAAACATGTTATGTAGATGCAGCGTCCTGTTTTGGCTTCCCCTAGATCAATATTAATAATCGTAAGTAACTACTGTAAATTGTGTGTTTGTATGATAGCGAAATACAGGCACATTTTATTTCGGGAAGTAACTATCAATGGTTAATTATGTTGTTGATTCATTCTAACGTTTAAAGAAACCGTCCTTAGTTTTAAAATGTTAACAAAGCAGTTACTATAAAGCTATAATACATACATTTTAAGTCAAAATTTCTGCCCTTTTTCAAGTTATTATATCAATCAGATCATGCATTATTCTGATTGATGTTAAGAATCACGCATATTAAAAAAGAAAGAAAGAACAATCTAGTTTTGAATGTTAAAAACACGATGGTAATGCAAGTAAGATATAAGTTTAAAGTAAAAATACATAAAATCAGATGATAAGACCGGGTGTTTGTGTAAATTGCAGAAAATAATTGTGGTTTACGACGACAATGACTTGCAATTATTTTAAAGTAAGCCGGTAATATTTTGATCCTTCTGACGTTAATTGAGTATTGATCAAGGCGTTGAGAGATCATGAGCGGTCACAAACAAAATATGCATATTTGTTCAGCTCTTGTAAAGTTGTAAATAAGAAATGGTATATTCAACTGTTGGTATTAGAACAGAACATTAATTACACATAATCAAATAAAAATACAGACTGATTAAGACAGAGGGGGATTTTTTGACTATTGCGAAAGACTCGAATGGAATCATAGCTTTTTTAATTTTATCGTTTGAACTATCTCAAACATGCAGTTATAAATTACAGATATGATACATTGTTTATTCTAAAATACCTATTTTTGATATTACCAAGTTTCGTATAATGTTCAAAATTTCTTCAGAATTGGTGTGTTCCTGCCCTGTGAATGATTTCATTCATGATATAGATACAAAACAATCATGTTTTTAAAGATACGACAATGTAGGGCATGTATACTGTAAATTTGAAAAGTATACATGTATATTAATTATTGCGTTGGTTCAAGAAACGCACGTGCATTTTATCAAAATTGCAGCGATCTTGATGTGATTTAATTCTATAACACAGTTCACATGTGCTAGCGATAATGTTCGCTAGTAATATACTTTAATAACTTAAATTTGTATAAGATGTTCTATAAATACATCTAAGTCAATTCATTTGATATGCTAAAGGGATTGTTAAAGGAACTCCATTGGGGTCAAAAAGTATACAAATAACAAATGATTTTCAGAGTTGCTTTAGCACTTAAAACAGAGTGATATGCTTGATATAATTAGCAAATATATTAGGAAATAAGTAGAGAAAAGACGTATTTTTCTATTTATAGCCCGATTTGAGTTGAGTAATTTTTCAAAGTAAGAATAATTATTCTAAAAAAAAACGGAATGACTGAATGATCTGATATTTTGCACACATCTTATTAGTTTAGACCTACATCAAATGGAACATTAATCTAGAAAAAAATATTTCCAGTCCCGCTTTGTAAAAAAAATAACCTCAGTGGAGAACATTTAAGACTTTAATAATTAATCATCAGAGCATGTACTTGACAATATTAATTTTCTATATGCATCTTAAAGGAAACCAGATTATTTCTAATTTTAATTATTTCAATTTATCATTTTGTTGAAATCTTAGAATGCAAGTCAACAAAACGCCGGTCAAATTACTAAGAGTAGAGGCCCAAGACTAGTAAAGTAAACACAAAGTTTTGTGTCTGTAAGGAAATACTGCAGGAGAGCGTTTGCGGATTTAGAATTTATGTTTGTTGTTGTCTTTGCTGAGAACTAAGAAATCAAGTTCTGAAAACTACAAAAGGATGTCAAAATTTCTATCTTACATTTGCACAAAAAGCATGCGTCATGCGTTCTAAGCGAATCTGCGCACGCCGCCCAGACTTAATAGACGGATATAACTTGAATTTATATACGAATGTATTTGGTTTTGAAGTTTGTAAACATATTTTTTCATGCATCCATTTGGGAGTTATTTCATTTAAAGATTAAAACAATATATAGAGGATTTTTGTTTAGTTCAGTGTAAGATCGGAATATATTTCACCGAGTGAGCACCAAAAGGTATATTTCACGAGTGGCGCAGCCACGAGTGAAATATGTACTTTTGGTGTTCACAAGGTGAATATATTTAGATCTCACACTAAACTTAACAAATTTTCTTTTAATTATATGCAAAGAAACGTTTTTAAAAGACATAAAACCTAATACTGAATGAAAAGCGCGCCAAATAATACTACAGCGTGACGTCATTTACGACGTCACGTCATTAAGTTGGTGCACGCTGGTATTTCACTGAAACAACGTAAGGGGCTTAAATTCAAAACATTGAAATTATCAAAGTGGTAATTTTACTGTTTAAAACAGTCAAATTACCAGTTTTGTATCACTGATATATTTCAATAAACCACCAAAAAGCATGAAATAAATATTTCTAACTGCTGGTGGCAGAGTTAAAGCTTTTTACTATTTAAGCGAGTTTTAATCATTTAACATTTTCAACTTCGTTAGATGGTTATTACAGAAAAGAATCCTCAAACAAAATGAAATTGTTTGTACATTGTTGACCATTTCCCTTTTCTTTGTTCTCTTTTTGTTTATGTATCCTTTTCTTCCTTTAAAATTCCATTTCCTTAAAAACAGCTTTATATATATGTTCCATTGGTCAGTTTCATTTACAGTGAAATAATGTTTGCTTCCCAAACTTTGATTGTGAAACAAAAATATTTGCATATTAACATTGACCTACAAATTAAAGAGTGGCAATCAGGTTATAAATTTTATAAAAAGCAGTGTGTGTATGCACACCTAATTAAAGATAGAGTTATTGGTAGACTTTGGTTTTTTGGAGATCGATATTGAAGCTACTTCTTATGAAAGTCAAAGTTGAAAAAATTCACAAACTGCTTTTTTCGTAATTCAGCATTGTTATCGGGACGATGTAAAAAGAAAAAAAAATATGCTTCAGATAAAATGCAATTTACAATTCATCTTGTGATAATGGCGATAACCGACTGAATAATTATGCAAAATGGGTAGACTACTATTATAATAATAAAAGTAGAAAGATATTATAACATTAACTTCATGTAATCTTTTCATACTGTAATGTGCATGATTATCGGTAAAAAAAATATTAAGTCTTGAAAATTAAAGTAATGAAACGGTAATTACATGCTTATAAGTGATAATTTCATATAATTCCAGAATAATTAATTCCCAGGAGCATAGACTGGTTAGAATTTTGATGAGTCATGAAATAAAAGAAAGTATAAATAGTTAATACGTTTCAAAATTATTAAATTGAAGATTGCAGTTATACTTTATCGTTGGTGCTTGCATACTTTTAAATACGTATGCTGTATGTAATATTTCTTACAGTAACGTTTGTATATACTTACATTGACATTTAACACAACTGGCATGACAATGTAACATTTAAATAATAAATTTTATGTCTTATTATCTTATTAAGTAAGTAAACTGTATAAAATATGATAAACAAGATCAACAAGGAAAGGCGGCGTTCAATGAACGCAACCCCCATATCACACTTGCTATTCAATCAAATAACGTTTCAGCATTACCGTTTGGATATCTTGAAACATTACTATAATCCAAATCATTATCTAGATGTGTTAATTAAATATTGATTTACGTAAAAGGAGATACGAAAAAACAAGCGACATTGGTTATTTCTATAGTCACTATATTGATTTGATTATCGTGATTTCATGGTGCATAGTTTCTCTTAATGTTTTAAGTTTATTCCGTTGAATATTAGATTACATATTTATCGTGAAAATAGTGTACAAAATTTAAAAGGCTAGGGTTGATAACTACAATGCTAAATTGTGATTTGATATATTTTCAAATTTACACTATATATCAATCTTGTCGAAAACACTAAAATAAAATGATATGTGACTACTTCAAGCTTAAGTAGCTATGAATTTCTTCATTAATATTATGTCTTTTAGATATACATTTTGACATATGTCACTATTGTATGTTGTATGTGCACCTATATATTAACTTGTAAAATGTAGTGGCTTGTCACTAGAAACTATAAAGTTTATGTGAAATAAATTTGTTTGTTCGACATACTTAAAGCGTGCACGATCGGTTAGTGTTTTGCTTCTATTAAAACATAATGATCGGTATTTGATTTCAAAGGAATGTTTATGTGAATATTGTCATTTTGCAACAAAAAATAAATAACAATAATAAAACAACAAAAAACCTAAAAGCCCTATTCTAAATTGAATATATATCCAGTATGTTGATACTTAAAGCAGTTGCTACTTTGATAAAAAAAAATCAAATTCATATTGTTTTCTTGATGATTTTAAAACATTGTTAGAACAACTTTCATCACATTTTTTAGATAAAACGAAAGGTAAAACACGAAAGAAGAATGAAAAAACTATAATATGTAACAGTGACATGTAGCAAGGCTTACAAAAACATTTTTTGAGATATTATGAAAACTCGGATAATAACCGCAACGTACTCATAATAGCCTAAATAAAATTTCCGTTAACAATTATATATCCATAAAATCCACAAGTGGCTATAAATATAAACCACGTGCTGATATCATTATGCGATAATCTTTATATAATTTTATGTAAAATTCCTTTCCACGCATCATCTCTGATAACTGACTGTAATTTTACAATTAATCTCGATAATCTGGAATTATAGCATGATATGTAAGAATTTATAGACACAGTGTATTACGTCTAGTGATTTGAGTTCGCTTTAGATGGAAACAAAATATGTTATCTATTACGTTATGTTACACTGAAAGTATGAGACTGGTGCCATAGAATTAATATAATGCCCGAAGGTTGCGACTAACTAATTCATTTCACCTGATAATTTCAATAAATATCCACAAATTTTCTTTGAAAAAAAAATGAGAATGCCTGGTGGGCAATGCAAAAACATATGAGCTGGGATTTTTTTTGCATACATATAAATTAAAAAGAAAATGCATTAAGATATCATTAAACAACTATTTTCTTGCATTTAAACAAGCTTAATTTTAAGTGCATTGGTCCGCAATGGGGACAATAATTTCCATATGTTTTTCAGATATTGATAAAAACAAACGAAATGAAGCCATTTGATATTCTTATACGATATTGCTTAAAAAATGTTGATAAAGTTTTTAGTGATTTAGTATAAACATTTATATGATGAATAATATCATTTTGTTCTAGAACACTTTATTATTTATTATCTGAACAAATATCTTACTTCAATCTTTATGTATTTGCGTTTATCATATACTTATAAATGGATAAAATATTGAGAAATATTGATGAAGTAAAATGCGTATTTTATTTTCCGTATTTTCACTGTAAAAATTATTTTTCACTGGTATTTTCCGTATTTTCAATGGTGTTTGCCGGACTACTTTCTTCTAAATTCAGCTAATAAACAAAATTAAAAGAGAACTCTTCCTATTCATAGGCTAAATGAGGAATAAAGTGCATAATAAACAGAAAATTCAAGTTTTTTATATATTGCTACTCGTGAAATATATATTTTCATACCACTCGATGAATATAAATCCTGTATTTATAGAAGAAACTTAAATATCCTCTATTTATTTAACTGTTTACAACTTTAAAAACCTGTTTTAACGTCATACTGTACCCAATGCCGTTTTGTCTTTCAATAAAATTTTAAGGCGGGATCAGCTGTTGCTCGTCTGTTCAACAGTTCTTTTATCTTTTTATTGGCGTGAGAAAAGGACATCTGAAAAAATTTTGCCCAAGCATGCTGTGCATATTATTATTATTTTAGGATAATCATTTTTGACAAATATTATCATTATATTTTTTGGTTATTTTTTTCTAATGTATATAAAATATCATATTTCTTTTCTGTGCAAGAAATAGAGCAAAGATGGAAAGAGAATCAAGAAAGTTTGATATTTCGATAAAAAATATATAAATTATATTAATACAGATCGTTGGCTACATACCTGTGGAATACTGAAAAGAGCACATAAGCACCAGGTCACTATTATCATAAATTTAACCCTTCTTGGAGCTTTATTTCTGCTAATAGGGTCCATTATCGCGAAACATCTATCTAAACTTATCACAACCGTTACATACGTTGAAAGGTTAAAGGCAAATACTTGAGCAAACTTTACGGCTTTACACATAAAATCTCCGGCATACCACTGGACTGTTGATTGCCATATGGCGTCTGAACCCATGCAGAAAAATGTAACAAGTAAATCTGCTGTTGCTAGATTAATTATTAATGTATTTATAGTTGATTTTCTTCTCCTCATTCTATACATTTGAACAATGGTCGACAAATTCCCAAATAATGACACTATGAACATTGTACCTTTCACAAGAACACTGATTAAATTAAGTTCGTCAAATACAGGAGCATCTCCTAGACCACCACCGGTCGTGTTTATACTGGAAAATGTTGAATTCACAGACATGTTTAGTATTTCGCCTATTTTATAACAAATAGATCAAACATATTATGAAAGACAAAATGATATGAGTTTATACAGCAATTAGTAATTTCAACTTTTATTTTTCTGATTATATTCGTGTTTTTTTTTCAATTATTAAACTTCGGTACTAGATCTTGGCAAAAATTAACAATTGCTCTAAATCGCTTAATGAATTACAAAATCCATTTTTTATCAATACGTCCGTATAATTACTTATTCAACATTATCACAAAAATATAATGCTCCTGTAACGTTTGCCTTCAGAACATTTCAGAATATGAATCGACAGCTTTCCTTCAAGACGTTTAAGTACGAGGCTATGTGATTGACAAGAAATCCAATAGTTCAGTGAACAATGGCCGTCCTGGGCAACATGAACGTACTGTATGATATCGCTTTCACTTCTAACTTACTTATTAAGTTTCTGCCTACTATATATTATTGGAAACAGCCAATCATGCTAGCGTCTCAAACGTCTCAGATGTTTCTTTCTTAACAAAACGCGCGGCTAAAAACCGCCGTGCTATACGTATAGAAATATGGTCGTTGTTAGGGATATTTATCAAATAAAAACACGTACATTAAATTTCATTTTTTATGTCATATTGCCTTGGTTTTCTACGTTCGTCAATGTGTGATCATGTTTCATGTATAAAAATGATAACTATCAGGGTAGGCGAATAATAGACAACAAAAAAATCAATTACATTGAATACTATTTTCACGTACCAAAGGTGCAATTTCAATTTTATATTCTGTTAGACCTTACATGTGCAGTTTATTTATATGGAATTTTATGAAAAGAGATAAGTCTATTGAAAATGGTCCACGAATTAAAGCAAAAACATTGGCCTATCAAAACAAAAATATACGTATTTTGGTGAAAACTGTTTTTTTTTAATTTACCTTTAATCATTACAAATAACAATTTTTACTGGTTTGTAAATACAGATAAAGAATAGTAAAAGTAACCAGATCACAACATTCATGACCTTATACCTGCTTTTAAATTGGTTATCTATGGTGATATTTATGATGTTATCAGATGCAAAGGAGAAGAGAAATGGCGTGTCTCTTGAATAGACGCAATTTAAGGTAGTCTGTAGCTTTCAATGTTTTTTGTTTTCATTGCTTTTTCAGTGACCTCCTAATTACTAGAAATACTTCATGGCGGATCAATAGTGAAAAATAGGATATTTCAAATTACATGGTTCAGTCCTAATTGCCTCGGAGTAATATCCCCAAAATGTAAAAAAGTTTATCGCATGTAACATCTTACAGTTAGAAGTAGTCTTACACTATTGTATACATGGTACCGCAATATACAGTATATCATAAAATTATTAATCAAAAACATAGTTTGGTAACCGTAGTTATTTTTAGAGAATTACAAACTATTCGACACATTCTTAAGACAAACAGCTCACATAAAAGTATTATAGTTCAATAAACATGATTGATTTATGTTCATCAATGTATTTATCTGGAGGTTAAACGTGTACAAGACATGGATCTAAAATAAAATTCCCTGCTGCAAAGCCATTAACATAAACTAACTAGTTCAATTGCCATGTGAGCTCCTGGAGTGTATATAATGGCATCAAACGCACGCAAAGAAGACATGTCTATTGAAACCAGATGAATGAATGCAAAATCATCCGAGGCAAATATTGAGAAAGAAATAAATAATTAGTAATATAAAGTATAAAAGTTATTCCACTATAATTAGCTCAGACAATGATGAACACCAGATAGTCGGGAGCAAATTAATCATTCTATAAATACATTTTTGACAATTATTACGGGTTTAATTATTTACCAAAGATAAACAATACTGAGTACAAAAAAGTCCTTACTGAGCAATTACAATTATACCACGGTATCACAACAATAAAGATATCAGTAAAATAAAAACATTTACGGTTCAGCAATTACCCCCTATGATTCCGTCTGAAGTCAGAATTACTATGAGGTTTTCTTTCAGGATATTTTGATAGCTTCAAAAAATATATTTTAAAGTCAATGATTAAGTAAAAGTTCTTACAAGTTCCACACTATTCCTATATCAAACAAATAGGGCGAATGCGTGTAATATAACATATATGCACAGCATAAAAAGGAATATGCATAATGCTTACACGTCATATGACGTCAAATATGTAGTAAATAAACTATATGGCGTCATAAAAATTACTTCTATCACTTTTTTCAGTTCGGGGTCATTTTTCTTAAAAAAAAACGGAGCCAGCGAATGGTCTAAATTATGCACACAAGTAATTGGTCTAGACATACATAACAAAATGGAAAATTAATTTCAAAAACTATTAAAGAAAACATTTTGTGCGATTTGTGCGATGATTAGACTTGAAAGCGTAGATGGACATGAATAAAAAAATATTCAAGTCCTGTCATGCCAAGCTACATATACAGTATAATGTATACAATAAAACAATACAATTTCAGATATTATGATGTTATAATCTATATTTTATATGTAAATATGGTAAATTATCAAGATCAAATAATAAAAGTCACAAAGTCATAAAACTAGATTTCAAAGATAAATCCAATTTACATGCTATATATTATCATGTGCCCAGGTGCGTATTGACAAGTTTACTTAATGGCATTTTTATAGGAATTTAAACAATCTCATAAATATAGATCTATTAAGTCACATACAAAACAGTATCATTATAATTGTTCCTGTTTAAATCTTTTTCTTATTGGTTTGTTCCAAAATTACATCATTGAATACTGAAAAATAGGATTTATTCTGTGTTTTTGTTTTTGTTTTCATTGATATGCATGATTCACGACCTCTGCGCGGTCTGAAAAGTTCGCTATACAAACATTTTTGGTTTTGACTTTGTCCTAAAATGACGAATTATGTTGTCAAGATTGAACGATGAATAGGTATATTAAGTTTAGTAACGCAGTGAGATCAACGAGTATATTTGAGTTCGGAAAGTGCATGTATTTGTTCAATCTGCATCCTCTTAATTGGTCATAAAAAATTATTTGAAGTTACTGAAGCAATCAGTCCGTGGTATAAAACTGATAAAACTACCACTAAAATGTTTGATCTGTTGTATTTACTGGGGTAAAATTAATCAGGATTTAACATAAACAAATCGTTTGTGCTAAAAGTGCTTCAGTCGAGATGAGTAGGCATATCTATGTGAAGAGGAATTCATGAATCTTGACTATAAAGTACACATAATCTGTTCTGATTTATTTAGGAAACATTAAACAGGTTTTTAATTACTCCTACTCACAAAATATCCTACGATAACGAGATTAATTATTTTTTCTTGTTATAAATAATTAAATTTCTATAAACATTGAATTAATAATTTCAAGATATATTTCATACGTAAACATATGTTTTGCATTTTATAATATATTATTTTATAATTAGACAACTAAATTATAATCATTGTATTGCTAAGCTATGGTCTTAAAAATTAAAATGGGGAATCCTACAATGAAATCAAACACCGATAGTTAAAAATCGTAGACACTGCTTTATTAAGCCTGTTCATGAGTGATAATGGAACGTGCCACATCTGTAAGGCCCCTAACATGGGCTTAAGTGTCTAACACTATCGGAGATTTCTCTCACGTAAACAAAAAAGGCCGGAAGCGTGATATATTTCGCAACAATGCACTCGCCGTTCTCTGTATTTTTAAACTGACACATTGACGGCGCCATTTTGTTTGAAAGATCTGATAAATAAAATACTTTTTTTGTTGAATTTTGTTTTGAAAACTATCTAGAATGATTGTAAATAATCTCTATAAGAAAATTAATCCGAACACCAATATCTTTAATTCAGTCATTTACCTGTACAGACATGGAAATAGAAATTGAAATATATATTAATTCTTCGTGTATTATAGTATAATATTCGTTCAAATATCCGTTCATGTTATTCGTTCAAATGCTTTGTAATTTATCTCTCAGGCCTATAGGCCTTTGTAATTGTATTCCTATGCATTTGAACTCCAAATGTGCATTATTCTACATTTAACACGGCCCGCATTTTTCCTTGAAAAAAGAATGTTATTATGCAATTACGTCACTGTTGACGTTTTTAATTTAGACATGTGACGTTATCATTATACATGTGACGTCACCACTAAAAAAGCGACGCTCTGAAAATAAGTACGGAAACAAATCAGGCGCAATTTAGCTTAATATCAGGAACGGTAGTATTTATTTGTTAGTGTCGTGTTAAAATCGAAATTATATTTCGATATCGGTGATTTTATCGCTCTTTAACATCACTGTTTGTCATCATTATATCAATAATGTAATTCCTCGCATCCGAACGACAAACAGTGTTGTTACTGAGCGATAAAATCGCTGTTTGGGATATATTATTTCTTAAATAATGCACTCAAAATTGATATCTATTTACTAATTCAACACTAAATGTATTGAAATCCATAATTAATAAGTAGCAGAAAAATCAAAACAACACCTTTGACATTCATATTTAAATATTGAATTAAGCCGTTGTTAGGAGGCGTGAGCGGTATTTTTCAATTTCCACAACCGCCCATGAGCAGTCTCAATCAAACCGAGCCTGCAACATTTTCAATTTTGTCGTTTTGGACGTTTCATGTGTTCCATTTATATTACTGCACAACCTGTCGTGCACTTTGAATAAATACAGCTTAGACATTATATTCGGAGTTGAGCTACATCATCGAAAGGTTTGAAAACAACAAATATTAAGAGGATATTTTTTCGTTTGAGTGAAATATGGAATATATTTTCACGAAACATGATAAAATGCCACATATTTTCACGAGCCGGGAAAACAAAATGGCGAAAGAAGTCCCCTAAAATAAATATGAGTTTTGACTCCGCCCACTTTCATATTTATATTTCATATTTATTATTTACAAATATGAAATATATTTGACTGATATAGCACCATATTTCATGGGTAAAATTAAATAAATTGCATTATTCATGTATATATTTACCCTTCAAAAATGTGTTCATAAGCGTCAGCAGACCGTTTAAGTTAATTACGACGACGTCAGTGGTTCGACAAAAAAGTGGCGGCTGAGAGTACATTATTATATTTTTTATCGACTGTTAACATTTAGTAGTGTATAACAGAGAGGAAGATTTTACAAAATGTGCATCACACAAGTTTACTGCAACACATTTTTCTAGATCAGTACTTCAGAATAATAAGTGACCCCGAAATACATTGAACAAACCTCAGCCCTAGGCTTCGTCCGGTCACTATGAAATAGGTGAATACAGATAGATAAGGAAAACATATCTCAAATGGGGTCCTCAGTGCCGATTAATAAATGATACAAAACGTTTATGAAATTAATTTTCATTTTGCTGTTTTGGGTTATGATTTATTATCTGTTC